CCCCCGTGGTCAGATTTGGATATGGATAGAGATCGCTGAACTGTTGTTAGAGAGATGAATACTACACGGACTAACGTCATTATGGGAGATGAATTTCCCAGGTATAAATTGTGAAACAAATGCAGCTAGTATCAGCAGAGCTCTTACTGGGTGGCAGATTTCTTCGTCAGATAGTGACTGACCCAACAAAAGGTGATGCTATTTTAGATTCTATATGGACAAGGGAAGGACTGACTGCAACTGCAGAAGAAAAAAAAAAAACACTCAAGGAGCTTAACATGCTGAGATCTGAAGACCAGATAGCTGTTGTGACAGTGACTCACCAGAGTTGTGTATCATCTATTAAAAACAAACCACAGATGAGATTCTGTTGTGTCTCAGGTAAGCTTTGCCAGGAGAAAGAAGGATGCGTTTGTATGATTGTACCCTACTGATTTCTTGTTTGGAATAAAATATCCTGGTTTAACCATCTTCAAAGGAGAATGAAAATGAAATTGGAACAGGTGCAGGAATGGCTCATTAAGGTGACTGGGGAGTGGACAAGAGCTTGCCTCAAAGACTTCAGTGACATGCACTGAGAAGGGATGTAACTGCTGTCTAAAAATATCCTAAGGTAGATCAGTATGGGAAATAGTATTTTTAAAACTAGTGTTAAATATAAACTGACTAGGAATAAGTTTAGGCTGTAAACCACAAATTCCCTAACCACCAGGACAAGTAGGCTTTAAAACAAGAGGGCTACCAAAGGCAAAAGCTTGCAAAGGTTGAAGACAATTTTATAAAAGTAGCTACATGGTTTGGTTGTCTGTAATAGCAGGAGACTAGATGTCAGCGAGGCAGGCATTATCTCCTACCCCGTGCCCCTATAATCTTAGGAGGCCCCATTCCTGAAATGAAGGCCATGTGCATAGTTTTTTCTGTTAGCCTGGAGTTTGCAGCAGGCTCAGGGTCTCAGGGAGGATTTCCCAAAGAATTCAATGGAAGTTTTGAGCAGAGAGAGGCTGCTGGCATTTTTCACATTGTTTATCTTATTCCTAATCCAACTATGAAGCAAACACATTATATTCGAGCATCTACTCCTGTATTACTCGCTCAACCAAAACGCCTATTGACATCAATGGGAGCCCTGTCCAAGTGAAGACAGCAGGATGAGGCCTGACATCTTTTCTTCCACCCAGCTGGAAAATCATAATAATGATGATAATTTTTTAAATCCTCATAGTAGTTATTCTTTTGAAAAGTTAAAATAACATGGTGCTGTGACTAGAGAGTTATAAGGGAAAGTGCATCAGGAATGTAATATTGTTTCCAGATGTACAATGTCATAAAGAATTTTTTCCACACTTGGAATGGTAACAGGAATTTTTTGAGAGATCATTTACACAGTGATGAGATATGTTACATGTAAGTAAATGCCTGTATGCCTGGAATGTTTGTACCATATGTCTAAATAGGTGTCTGTGAGTGAACAGCTTTTATATATATGATGATGTGTATTTACTTGCATATATGCTATTTGAAGAGGAGCATACTTTAAAATATAGAAATACTGATATAATGTATAGGTGGGGGAGGAGAGGTTGTAGTACAAGATTGTAGTACCCAGGTGAAGCTTTGTAAAGAAATACAACACTGAACTGTGCATGGAAGTGAAAAGGGGCACTGAAGCTCAGAGAACCTGAGCTTAACATGCTAAAGACAGTTTGACTGAATGTCATGGTAGGTGAACCCTCATTGTGGTTTTTGAGCAGGGATTACATTACAGAAATCCAGCCGGGAAGCGAAAATAATGTGGAGATACAGCACATGCATTTCTTCAGTACTGCTGGGGAATCATTGTTTTGTGTCTGTGGCTTCATAGCTAATAACAAGAGCCTTGCAGATTTGCAGAGAGAATCTTAAGAACTGCCAAAAACACCCCCTAGAAGCTTGTAACTCCCTCGCTGTTCCTAGAGATGGAACCTACGTTTGGATGAATGATGGAGTAACGCATTGCCGTGTCTATTTCTTGCTTGATCGGTTGTCCTCTGAAACTCTAAGAGGTGATGGGTTGATCCAGCTGTTGGGCGGCACAAAATCTTTAGTGTTTATGCTGTCTGTGTCAAATTTGGCCCTTAGCTACAATTACCAGAATCCATGGCCTACCTGACATATTTTGATGTTCTCGGATCATTCCCTTAGGATTACATTTTGCATTAACTCTACTGATTTTAGGTAAAAGACTGTCAACTGAATAGGCCAAATTATCATACACAAGGAGTAGTGCCATCAGATCAGGAAAAGAAAGACGCACCAAAACCATTTGCCAGTGCTGCGGACAAATCGGAGAATTTAAATCTCCAGGGAAGTTTGCACATCACCTTTCATCGGCACTAAATACAGGGTTTTGTTTTTTTTAAAAAAAAAAGGCCTGGATTGTTTTACGATGTTAGGAGAACAAGTGTTATTGATCAATATGTGTTCAGAAGTGTATTGGCCAAAATGCATAGAAATGGTTAACAAGGTAACGGTAAGAAATGTTGACCTTGATTTGTTTAGCTAAGATGTAAAGATTTTTGAAGGTCAAAGGTGTTCTTGTGTAGTGTTTTGGAGTCTAACTGTGTCTGACCCTCTAACATTAAGCTGCTGTGGCCTGCAGTTTTGAAGAGTGAAGCAAACCAGGGGGAAAGAGAGAAGGGGGAGAGAACAGGAAATGGAGTGAGGTGTTTCAGGAAGTTGTCAGGAGTTGACTGATTGATTCCAGATGGAAAGGGTCACCCTTCGTGACCCAGGAAATACTCACTGGGGGAAAGCAGTTGGCTTGTGAAAGGGAAGGCCCTGGGAGTTAGAGACCATAGTGGAATGCACATTCTTCTTCCTTTTATCCATAAAACGTTGGTTTTTAATCTTTGGTATAAAACAATTGGATTGTCATCTTCATCAGGCAAGAGGGAATGACTGGAGCAAAGTGAAGAAGTTCAATAATTTTTATGTCCATAATCTCACACGTTCTTACTCCACATCATTGATAATGAGTTGGCTAGTGGTGTCGTAGCAAAGACGACAAAGGTCTCTGCTGAATTTCAACAGTACCTTAGAGATTACTGCAAATAAGATCCAAAACTTTGAGAAGGTTCTGGTCCAGATCTGAACTTTGCCTTTTGTCCTGTCCCTGAGAAAGCTGTATTTATTTACCCCAGGTCCCAGCCAGTGAAATGCCAAGTGGCTTTCACCCTCCCGTGATGAATGGGAGAGGTGAATAAAAATGGAGCCGCTCATGGAGAGAGGTCTAAAAATGCGTCTTCCATTCCTCCTGGCTCAGAGAATAGAAGGTGCTCAGCACTTATCTTCTAAACAGAGGACTGTTTCTTGCTATTACTCATGCTACAGGGATCTCCACAGCTCTTGCTGAAATGTGGCTCTTGCATTGTGCGCAACATTCACACCCAAATGGCTGTTCAAACAGGGAACGTGTATACTTGAAGTCTGCATATATTATAAAGGTCTCGTACTGTGAGCATGTGGGTGTGTGTTTATCGCATATGTACCTTGTGTATGTGAGGTCAGATATGTATATATTGTAAAGTGTAACTGCATATATATGATATACTTTTTATTTACATTTGGTTACAATTTAAACACTTGTCGTAAATATTTCAGACACTGGAATAATTCAGGTCTATTCCCCTGTTGCTATAGTGTGCTCTGTGCTGGCCAGTGAGAGATTAAAATTTATTTCCATTGTTTAACGGAAAATAATGAAGTGCATCTGAGTGGGTTCAGCTATGTCATGCGGGAAATGTTCACTTTGGATAGGAGCCTCACTCCACCCAAATGTGCAATGATGAAATCAGTTGGCACACAAAAGCAACACATTTGGTGACAAGAATGCTTGAGAAGTAAAGAGTACGGTATGACAAGAGCCTTTTGGAATGAATTAAACTTGTCTGAAGAAAGAAAGTATTCTTTCAGCTAGCATATCCTGTAGGAGGGCAAGGTTTCTCCTGCTATATGCTGAATGTAGTTTTATCAACAATTAGAGCTTGACATTCTCTTATCTAGACTATGAGAGCTGTATCTGTGAAAATTCACGAACACATCCAGGCTCAGATTCTCAATAGCTGTGAATTACTGTAGCTGTGTGGCAGCTGAATGGAGTTAAGCTGATTTACACCAACGGATGGTGGAAACCTGGAAGTTTCAATAAGATGCATCTTCTTTCAGTAGTTAAAATGCTGTTTGTTCAGTTTTTCCTAAAAGTTTGTGATTTAAAGGCACGTATATTTCTGGACTTAACAGCTTTGGATATTGTATTGTAAAGGGAAAAATAAGTGGGATTAATTAACATATACAGTTACTTCCTCTAAGAATTCGTATGCTGTTGGAGCCCAGCAACGTAAGTCATGGAGGCTAAGGGTTAAAAACTGCTGCTTGGTTCGGGGTCCTCAGGCTCAGATGATTTTCAAGAGGCACTAAGCACACATAGGTCAAAAACCAGACATGGTATTAGGTACTGTTTTCACGTAGTAGGACTTTCCATTTTGCTCAGTCAGTGGAGACCTGTATTTTTGGAGCAGATGCAGATACATTTGCATGTGTACGCCGTACAGCAGATGGCTCTGAATCTGCATGTATGTATCGGAGGGCAAATTGCTGTGGTGCTCTGCAGCCTGCCCTCCTGGTTGGTATATATAGACCTCTCTGCCATCAGCTGTGCTACAGTGCCTCATAGGAAACTAAATTTAGGGCCATCTGCAGTAGCTGGTTCATTATACAGTAAGGACTTTATACGGCCCTTAGGATGCTGTGTTAAATGGAATTAATGCATAGAATGAAGGCTGAAAATATTTTCTCCCCTTCTTGTTAGGCAGTAAACCCTGCAGGACGTGATGCCATTTTACAAACTGAACAAGGTTTTAACGAAACTGAATAATTAATACTTAACAAGTTGAATTTCCAAGTAAATTGCTTACCTGCCTCCTTTTTCTTCCCTTTCTAAATATCTAGGTTGTGCTATCAACAACAGTGAATGTTGATGGGCACGTACTGGCAGTGTCTGACAACATGTTTGTTCACAACAACTCCAAGCATGGACGGAGAGCAAGGAGGCTCGACCCCTCAGAAGGTAGGATATTTGGATGAAGAACAGTATGCAAATGAATGCAAAAGCATACTACCCATTCCTCAATTTCTATTGGTTTTCAGGAGGGAAGGAGAGCTAAGGGGGAACTACAGAACCTCAGGGGGTTTAGAGAGGGAAGAGGCAGGAAAACAGTGTCTACCGCATGCAAAATATGATCATCTTTACATCTAAGAGACGGCTCCCCCCCTCCCCCAATTTATTAATTAGTTTGTACTGCAAAGATGAAAAACACAGAAACACTAAGTATTATCTAAATTTCAGAACTCTCCTTCAGCTGGGATAGATTTGATTTCAGGCAAATTAGACAACATGACATCTTAGTTAAACAACTGTTACAGCACAAGATGTGTATGAAAAAGTGTCACTAGTTCCCTTAAACAAACTATGCGCAAAGCATAACAATGCACAGAAGGCAACTGACACTAATTGATTTTAGTTTGTTTGGCTAAGCAAGACTCATGGCCGTCTACAGGATGGGTTTTGGACTATATTAAAGCAATTACAAATACTTGTATCTGTTAAGCTTCAAAATGTTGACCTCTCCTCTCCCTCTTTACCAACACATTCCACCTCACGCAGACAGTACTCCAAATTACTAGAAAATGCTATCTGTGTCTCCTTTTCCCTCCCCTGCAGCTAGTGAAAGTGAGAAGAGCTAGTGATGTTAGTAGAAAAGACAAGCAAGGATATTATTTCATTATAATGTTTTGCTGCCCCACTTCTTAACTGTGCCCTATATCAACCTAAAAGAAGAATTAATGAACTGGAAGAAAATGATTGAATCAGTAAAGAATTCAGAGTGGTGTTAATTCTCCCCCAGCGGGCAGTGAAATGGTAGAAGGAAAATCCCAGGATTCCTAGCCTAGGAAGCCATCCAGTTTTTCCTTGACTGATTGGATGTGATTGACTGGCTGTTCAAAGGAGTCTCATGTTTTTGGAGCACTGCCAAAGTTCCCCTCCACCTCTGACCCTGTCAACATTGGGAATGGAGTGATGGATTGACTTTGGTTATGGCCTGGAAACCATATTGGGTTCCTGATGGGATGTATAGTCCAGAGGCCTTGAACATATGGAAGAGAGGAGAAAAAAAATTTTGCTCTCTAAAATCAAGAAAATTATTAGAAATTGTGTCTTGATAGGAATTGGAGGAAGCATTCGATATTCCTGTATCTTTTTTACCCATCGATAAACTTAATAAATCTTAAACTACCTGTCTTTCTACAGGGTTTAGCTTTTGTGTGATCATATGCTAATGAGTGGGGTTTTTTTTTAAACAGCCTCTGCACAATCATTTAAGCGTTTCATTTTTACACCCACTACAGTTGGCCTATTAGGCTTTAATGACACGATGTTAAGTGCCAGTAATGAATAGGCAAGTAATTAACACTAGCAAGGCAGAAAACATGCTTTTATTTATTTATTTATTTATTGGGCTTCGTGGAATGGTAAAGCAGCCTTCATGGGTGAATGGCTGGAGGGGACTTGTCCTAGGCCTTCGTCAGCACTAGGGAATTCGTGCCAGCCGTGAAGCTGCAGCAGTGGAGAAACTCCCAGGAGCAGACAGGTGAAGCTGCTCTAAGCCAAAGTTTGCATCAGTATGACTTGGGACTGCTTCATGTGCACAGAAGTTGCTTGCACCCATCTACTGCAAGGGTTTACACCCAGTATTGCCAACAGTCTCAAAGCTGTGGGGGGGAAAAAACCCATACCCTGATGTTCTGATGTCCTTTTCGTTTTGTTTAGCCACACCGTGCATCAAAGCAATCAGCCCAAGTGAAGGCTGGACTACAGGGGGAGCAATGGTCATCATTATTGGAGACAACTTCTTTGATGGGCTGCAAGTTGTATTTGGAACCATGCTTGTATGGAGTGAGGTAGGTAGAGGTGCCTCCCTATTGCTAAATTGAAGAAACATTCCTTTTCTGAGGGAAGTGGAGGGGGAACAGTATTAATGCCTATTCCAATAATGGTACAAAAATGGTGGTGTGTCAGGCAGGCCAAATAAAACCTGTGTGAAGGAAATTCACGGAACATGTTTTCTCTGTGGAACTCCTTGCTATGTGATATTATTGAGGCCAACTGCTCAGTAATATCGAGAATGGAACTGAACAATTCTAGGCATCTGGAGACAGGTAAAGGCAAAGAAATGAAGACAGGGTTAGAGTTTGGAAGGAGAAAGAATTCCCTCTGGGTCCAGAAATGAGCCAGCAATTAACCAGTGGGCATAAGCAGTACAATTTTCCTGATGATAATTTATCCTAAAATGTGTCTTCCTCTCCTGGAGGCAAGAAACTAGACCAGATGCATCACTTGCCTGATCTATAGCATCTCTTATATAGGAGTAAGCAATGCATTTACTCATAAAGCATGTCTGGAGGGTGAGCAGTGAAAGTGGGGAGAATAACACAGATATGTCATAATCGTGCCTCTCCTTCGGTTATTTCCTAGCTTATCACGCCTCATGCCATTCGAGTTCAGACACCTCCACGTCACATTCCCGGAGTGGTTGAAGTGACATTATCGTACAAATCCAAACAGTTTTGCAAAGGCGCACCGGGCAGGTTTATTTACACAGGTAGGTGATTGCGATTTACGCTAGAGGAGCTCGAGCTCAGAGCCTCTTTGTTTCGGTAATCAGTATTGACAATTCTCTGCTTACTCGCTTGCTTTATTTATTTAGCCTCTTGCTGTTTGAAGGCCACTCTGCTAGTTGTGACATTTGGACATGTAAGGAGATAGCTTCATTGTTGTGCAGAGGTGTTAAGGCACTGTTACTACACATGTTAATATTTTTTCCATATTAGAGCTCATACTGTTATTATATGGGTCTGCCTATAGATATATGGAGTGTACAGGAACATGACAGCATTGTTCTACATACTGGAAGATGTTTTATTTATAACAGAATTTATTTTACATTTCCCTCTCGCTGGGGGTAACCTTTCATTTTCAAGATAATCCCAGAGGACAAGGAGAGCATCTTGTATTGAGAGAAGCCAATGAGCTGAGTGGAAAATAAATCTGTTGGGGTTTTTTTATTCTTAAATGGATTATCAACTTATTTAGTGTCCTATATTCACCTCTGCTAGCAGGAGAACATTACCTGTAGATCTGAAGGAAAAAGATCGGATGGGACCAGATGACCATCTCATTGAACTGTCAGTGCCAGTAGTAACAATGATGACATACAATGTATACACTAAAGTGCCTATTAAGCATGGCTGGAGAATAATGGTGCGCCGAGTTCTAAAGGGTGGATTTATATTTAAGTTGAATGACTTGCTCCCCCCAAATCATATTAAGATTTCTCAAAATGGAAGGATTTATTTAATTTTTTTAAAGCTTCTTGCTACTAACAATCCTCATTAAATAATCTTTGTGTATTATAATTGTCAATTTTTAAATCATAATTTAACTCAAAAATAATAATGACGGTCCAAGAAATTTTTTATTAAAAATTTTAAGGTAAAAACCACCTGTTGAGTGAATTAGTTTCCAAATGTGGAAAAATTGGAATAAAAATCTGACACTTCAGGACTTCGGAAAGAACCAACAATATACGAAGATCCTGTTACTGTCTTATGCTGGGTTTTATACCCTTTATTAGTACACATGCTAAATTAGTGTTTAGTTATGTATGTGGAAAAGTATTTATTCATACAACTGCCACACCTAGAAACCTGCAGCAAGAATTAAGTCTTCAATTATACTAGGTAGTCTAATGAAATATAAGCTTAACTGACAAAGGATTATTTTTGTTATGATAGAGGTCTGATCCGCAGTTAATTGAAGATACTGAAATGATATCCATTGACTGAAACTGACTTTGAATCCAGCTCAAAGAGGTTAGGCCTTTCTTCTGATTTTGCACCAAAATAACGCCAGTGCAGTGCAAAGTCATTCCGGAATTATTCCCGGGCTTGTGAGATCAGGATCTGGCCAAAAGCTTTTGAAATACATTTTTGTCTAAGGCAGTGCATTGACTCACTGGTCTCTGGGAAAGGATGAATCTGATGCCTGAGCAGGTTAACCCTGTCTCCTGAGAGATAACTGGCCAAGCCATCAGACAGGTTAAAGGCTCAAATCTGCGTGCAAATTCAACCACGTTTCTGAAGAGATGGGACAGGTTAACTTAGCGGAGCCTGGCCCTCCTTAAGCAAAGGAACAGCGTCATGGATTCACGTGCGGCGCAGGGCTGCGCTAGGCCTGATGCGTTCACCCGCAGAGAGACCGTTAGTCTTTAGCTATTGTTGTAGATTAAGCGTAAAGTTCTTCTATGCCATTTTCTGCCTCTTGAGGCCTTGCTCTCCCAGTCTTCAACGCAAGCATTACTGAGGGCCACTGGCTGCGTGCTGTTGGTACCCGTGCTGAAAGAGGTTTAGGAATGGAGCGATAGAGAGACGTGTAATAGAAATGTGCATTCCTCTATGAAGAAAAGTCTCACTACTATCGTAAAGCTGTTTTAAGTGCAAGACTTACTTGTACGGTCTAGGGGGGACTTGAGTCAGACTGCAGTGCAGTTCTTTGACATGTTAATTAGAGTGCTTCCACAAAAAAGGACATGAAGATGTATGTAGGAGCCAGCAGAAGAGAAGAAAGTTAAATATACTGTCCCTATTTTACTGCTGTTATTGGCATAGGGATATCTGTTAGCATTCTCTGAGGAGTGAGTGGGTGCTTACTGCCATATGTTACAAAACAGCATTTCGCAGAAGATGCCGAGCTGTTAGAGTGAGGGTAGAACAGACAACTTTTCAATCTGTCTATTCAAGAACCTGCAGTTCTCCCACCATGGCAGGCAAAATGATAAACACAGCTATTAGGTAGAGGCTCACCTGTGTAATCAATTCCCCCAGGTTGTTGCTGCTAATAGCAGTAAAAACAACTTCTAAGCTATGAAAATAACATGGTGGCTTTTTTTTTTTTACTTTCCGTGGCTGTGCTATCAGAAAACTGCTGTGATCCTGCTGTGAACAAATGCGTTCATTTTTAACCTAGGTGAGCCATATTCAAAGTCCTTCTGCCTGTAAGTCGTCTTCAGAACTCCCACAACTTTTGAACCTCTTGACCAATTTCTATCAGATTTTATCAGAAAGATAGGAGCATCAAAGATGCACAGTTCCAGCACATTTTTGTGAAAATGGAAAATGGTAAGAGAGATTGGAATTAATCTTCCTCTGAAAGAAAAGGTGAAGAATTCAACCGTGTTATTAGACAGCAGAGAAGCTACCAGAACACAGCCTCAGGAAACCAGGTTGTTTAAGTGCCGCTGCCCACGGAATGCATGTGTGTATCCATAGCACTCTGTAATATGCACTCAGTAGCAGCACAGAAGTGCAGCTATTTGTTGGGTAGAGTGTAGGAGACAGATATCATATAAAATACCGAAGAGGGAAGTTCAGTAGATTTTCTAATTATTGGTAAGGTAGTCCTGTGCATCATAATGAAAATCTGGGGTTCTTTTGTGATAATTGAAGTTATTTTCTTGATACTTCTAGTACTTTATATTGCAATCTATTCCTCCGAGCTGTCACAAAGTTTGTACATAAGGTATCAGAGAATGCAGTAGGCTTGGAGACACAAATAAGACCACTTCCCTCCTGAACTGTAGTTGCCTCTATAAATGAGAATTTCTCCTCTACGTACCCTCCATTTACATTCTGCTTGCACTTGGCAAAATCCTAAGAAATGCAGAGACGTTAACATCAAGCCCAGGAGACTGAAAAGTGTGAAATCCTGCAAAGTAAAAGCACGGGGAGATGTAGTTCTGTCAGAACTAGTAACAGCAACAACAACTAGCAGCCCCGGTGCTATCAGGGCCATGTGGTATTAAGTCCTTCATAATCATGAAGTGCTGAGATAGAAGCTCAGATGAAAAGCACGAAGGGGCAAGGCATATGAAAGATACTGAGTAGCTGGCTATGGGTACTTCACAGGTATAACAAGAATAATTATTCATACAAAACCAGACCTCCGAGGGTTCATCAGGGCCTCACTGCATCAGACATGGGCAACCAGTTACAGAAAGACTTGTGCTTCCATTTCATACATGAGACGTTGCCACGGAAGGACGAAGACAGATTAGCCACTTGCCGGTGGTTATACAGGAAAGCTGAAGGTAGACAGGGAAATAGATCCCTCAGGTTCTAGTCGTGGCCTTCAATTACCAGAACACCCATACTCTCCTAAAACATGGCAACGGAAAAACAATGATCTTCAGTTAGTACTGCGTGTATCTGCCTATGCCCTCAATATTTAATATACAATCAAATATTAATGTTTGACCTGATTATACTTGAGCTTTTTTCTTCTTTTTTAAAGAGTCACAATAAGGCAGGTTGTTTGAAGAAGAAAATGATAAACCGTTGAAAAGATGAATATAAAAATTAGATATAAATTTCAAGGGTAAATCTAAATGCCGCAGTGGAGCTGTTACGGGAGCCCATATGTGTCCTGTAATGTGTATTTATAATAGGCCCTTGCAAAGTGTGCTGTGCTGGCATTGCTGTAGTGATGGTTCTGTCAGCGTTTCCACTCTTAAGTGCTATCATTCAGGGTGCTGCAACTCAGCCATCAAATTCCTCTCATCGCCACAGTGTGATGTGTGGACTTTTCCATAAGGTTCCCAGATGGAAAACTTCTATAAGGGTGAGGCCAACAGGATTCTATGGACATCTAACGGTGTACTACAGAGTCTAGCAAGAATCTAGAGAAATGGCTTGTTATATGTTAACGGCCGGTGCTGAACCAACTTACATGCTTTAGTAGTTAAGTATATACTTAAAGTGAGAGATAAAATGTCTATTTTTAAATCACCACAACTAAACATTTAGTCCCCGTGTGTACCTTAAGCTGGTTACACATACATCTCCATGTTCTGAATTACTTTTCTTTTATCAGCTATTCCTAGAATAATAAGAGATTTGTTCTTTGCTGCTAATCTAGCAGTAGCCTCATATTCCGCTTTTAATACTACACAAATTCAAATTTTCTGCCGCTGTAAGTCATTCCATTATAGGTCCCTTGACTTTAATAATGCTTACATCAGTTTACACCGGCTGAGGATGTCTTGTAGGCTTTCATATCTTAAGTTTGATCACAGCTCTGCATTTACTTTGTCATAGAGATGCTAACCTGGAAATGTGTATATCAGGGAGATTTTGAACATAATTTTCCTTGCTGAGGAGAAATCCTCCAGGGGTTAACTTGTCAGAGCAATGCAATATAAAATAATCTGTAGGATATGTTGGACTCCCGGGTTGTACTGTATCAGTCTCTGTGCCAGGTACCAAGGTAGGAGGGTACTGGTTTGCTAAAGCTTGTAAGTAGATTTGGGAACGGCTTGTTATCCGCTTGCGGGAAACAACACTTACAAGGATGCAGTGAGCTCTACAAATTGGAAGAGCGAGTTTGCTTGGCCAGAACACAACTGATGTGACAGGAAGCACTCGCAGAGAACAGCTCCCACCACTGCTTTAGCCTATGAAAGACACCTGCAATAGGAGGCAAGGCTGCGCTGGGAGTAGGGTGTTTGGAACAGCTGCTACCAGCACAGCAAATGCAACGAGGACCACT